CCTAGGTCTAAAGGACTTACGACTTCCTGCTCGTGCTGCAACGCGAACTCTCGTGTGTCGGGTGATAGTCTTTGTATTTGGTCCCAATTTAGTTCCTCAAATGGTCGCCTAGGTCTAAAGGACTTATGTAGCTCATTAGGAGTCTTGTAAGTAGCTAGGTGGACACTATTATTGTAGGCGCTTGCTCCTTGGGAAGCATCTCATCCCAGTTTACCTGATCTGGTCTAATGTACATTCTGAGTAGCTGCTGCAAGATCTTATTCATCTGCTCTGTCTGGCCGTTAGTCTCTAGGTGTCGTCCTGACGACATCAATAACTTAGACCCATAGACTTTCATAAGATCCTGCCAATTCTGGCTAGTAAACTGCGTATCCCTATCACTTACTATGGACAGCGGCATGCCATGCTCGCTTACCCAGAAACCAAAGAACTTTCCTATTACTAAATATGTTCGCGCTTTTGTCGGTGGCGGAACAAAAACTGCATACTTACTAAATCGATCCCCTATGACCATGACCCAAGTCTTGCCGTGCCTACTTTTGACCCCAGTATCCATGAAGTCGATGGACACTGAATCTCCGGGTCCTGATGGAATTGGCAAGGGCCTAAGAAGCCCTAGTGGGGCTCTTGTTGTAGTCTTGTTGGGCTGACATACCTTGCAGCTGCGCACATACTCTATGCAGTCTGCTTTCATACCTGTCCACGTGTATGACATCATGAGATTAGCTAGAGTCTTCTGCCATCCGAAATGCCCTTCTGTATCGTGGCATTCCCCTAAGATCAAACTGCGGATCTCTTCACTATTGGGGACGCATAGTCTGTCAGCGACATTGGTCTTCTCAAACAGTAGCCCATTCGTGGTTCGGTAGTGTGGTTCACTATGTGGGGCTTCCTTTACTCTTTTCAGCAGCTCACTGTAGATCAGGTTCTGAGCGTATGCATCTCTGATCTTCTGCTGTAGATTGGCCCCTATGTCTAGATAGTGCATTGTTGCCCCGAAGTAATCAGCTCTCCTACTCAGAGCATCGGCTACCACGCTATACTTTCCTTTTACAGGCTTTAACTCAAAATCAAATTGGTTTATCTCAACAGCCCATCTAGTCAACTTGGGCGTCATCTTGGCATGTGTCTTTAGCCATCTAAGAGTCTCATGATCAGAATATACCTTGAAGTGCCTCCCAAGCAGGTAGTGTTTCCAGTGATCTAAGGCCTGCCTGGGAGCGTAGAATCCCCTCTCATATGTCGATGCTGCAACTTTCGCTGAGGGCAGCCTGGCTAACATGAACTCCACGGGCCTATAACCGTTGCCGTCATCTTGCTGTAGAACGACACCCATGCCATACTGACTAGCGTCTGTAGTGACGACAAATGGTAATGACGGATCAGAAACTTTGAGGACAGGGTACTCTATTAGAGCCTTCTTTAATTTCTTGAATGCTGACGTGGAATCCTGGTCCCACTTCCAAATTGTCTCTTTCTTCAGTAATCTATGAAGGGGAGCAGCAATCGTAGAGAAGTTCCTCACGAACTTCCTATAGTAGCTAGCCAGTCCTAAAAATGAGCGCAACTCTGTCAGCGTCTTAGGAGTTGGCCAGTCTCTAATGGATGCAATCGTACTGTCCTCAGGCCAAATGCCGTCGCCGTCTAGTACATGGCCTAGGTAAAGGACCTCTGTCTTGGCCCATTCGCACTTCTTTGGGTTAATCTTGAAGTTAGACTCTCTCAGCTTGCTTAGAATCTGCCGCAGATGGCCCTCATGTTCCTCGAGGGTCTTGCTGAACACTAATATATCGTCTAAATAAACTACGACGAACCTATCCAACCACGGTCTAAACAAGTCGTTCATGCAGCGCTGAAATGTAGCCGGTGTATTAGTAAGTCCAAACGATATCACTATGAACTCGTAATGCCCATACCTTGTCCTGGACGCCATTTTATACCGATCGTGAGGGTGCACTTCTATTTGATGGTAACCTGACTTCAAATCTATCTTTGAGAAATACTTGCATCCCTGCACGCGATCCAACAAGTCATCTATACGTGGCAATGGCTCTGCATTCTTAATTGTGATGGCGTTCAGCCCCCTGTAGTCTATGCACATGAGTAACTCTCCCTCTTTCTTTGGGACAAACAGAACAGGTGCGCCAAACGGTGACGAGCTAGGCCTGATCCATCCTTTCTCCAGGAGCTCGTCCAACTGTTTGCGAAGCTCCTCTAGCTCCTTGGGAGACATCCTGTAAACTGCCCCCTTAGGCGTTCTACTGCCAGGTTCTATCTCTATACGGTGTTGGATTGGTCTGGGCACTACTCCTGACGGTGCTTGAGATAAGTCCTTGTACTCTTCTAGCAGACTGGCGATAGTAGGATGGATCTTCTCCTCTTCCTTGGGCTGGTCAGAAATCGGCCTAACATAGGCTACAAACACCTGCTCTTCAAGCTGCTCCTTTCGCACAAGTCTAGCGAATGCAGGAGCGTTGAGGCAGCAATGGGCAAGGGGATTATCTTCCCCGGACTCATGGAACAGGCGGACTTGCTTGACTTCGCCTGACGCGCTAGGGAGCCTGCACTCATGCTCTCTAAGGTGAAGTGTGGCTCCTGCTGCCTCTCCCCAATCTGTGCCTAACACAATGTCAAACGGGAGACTCTCTTCTACGAGGAGGGTCAAGGAGTGTAATACTTTATCTACCTTCCCATCTTTCTCGAGGCGAAAGTAGGCATGGAACCCCTCAACATACTCTTCAACGCACATTCTGCTATTGTCTGCGAGGATGCTGACTACAGGCTCTTCCAATCGCTGGACGTTTAGATTTAGCTTCAAGTTCCCTCAGCGCTTTACGACTGATATAACTCCTAGTCGCCCCACTGTCTATCAGGGCACCTACTCTAGCTCTAAAAAATTCTCTGTCTACGAGGATAAGTTGTCCTTTACTATTCTTCTTCATCTTGGCCCAGGGTTGCTGCCTCTCTTTTAACTCCTCAGCTAAGCCTGTGAGGGAAACGTCTAGATAGACTCTAACATAAGCAGTCACTGGACAGCCTACTAGACGCCGGCCTGCAACCTTCGCCATGGAGATATGCGGAGTGGGAGACTCTACTTCGCACGCACACTTAGATCCACATACTCCTGGGGTAGGGGCAGTTGCAACCCCTACCGACGGTTGTCTTTTGCTGCCCCAGACACAGCACAGTCCCCATACTTAGGACATAATTTTATAATGTGCCTTGGTCCCCGCAGAATATGCATTGAGAGCTATTGATGCGTTCTTGCCATACTTTTTGCTTTATGCCCAGATCGTCCCAGGGTCGGCCCTCGGGCCGGCCTGGGTGCCACCAATCCTTGTCTGGGAGGTGACGGACTAAAACGCTGACGGTTAGACGGGGGACCTCCCCTTCCTCCCGCTTGGCGGTTGCCATTGCCGCCAACACCCTAGCCGCCCTGTCCTCGGCCACCCGGGGCCCGGCCATTCTGGTCGGATCTTTGTCCTCCTCCTTGCGGCCTCCCTCCGGCCACGACAGCAGCGTAGGTTCTCCTCTGACCAGCGCCACTGTCTTGCTCTAGTCCCCACTCAATGTCAGAGTAGGGAACCTCGTCTGCACCACCTTCCTCCATCGCCAGAATCAAACTATCTTTGGCCTTAATTTGGCCGGAGATGGTGCGTCCCTTCCACGTTTTTCCCTTTGACAGGTCCTTGTGCCAGAATGTGGTAACTGGCGACGCTTCGGCGGCAAATGCAACTGCCTCCCGACTGAGAGTGTCATAAGTCATGCCCTGCTGATTCTTCTTCTCAAAGAAGTGCCCTACATATTTTCAGGCAGGGCACGGTAGAAGAGGTTAAGAATTTGGGCATCCGTTACTCATGCCCAGGGACCGCAATCAATTCATCCATAGCGGACTTAAGCGCATGCACACTCCTCCATTGACGAGGGTGTATCATTTGGAGTTTGTCAAAGGCTTCGAGCCCCCGTGTCACATCAGAAAATCTCTCTCGAAGCGATTTCAGGAATTCGGAAAGGGGCGCTAGTCTAGAATAGGTGACCATATCGTTCTCGCAGTTTGGAGCGCGGGCGAGCGACCTAGCAAAGCTGGTCGCCTCATCTTGAAGAGTCTGGAAGGCCACCAAAACGTGGTCCTCAGGCGTGACTCCCTGTAAGTAGAGATAGGAGTGCACGTTGGCCTCCCAATTGTCGAAATCTTCCCCCTTCTTTCCACTGAAGGGTTCGGGAAATGAACCTTGACTCTCTCACGGCGTGGTGGGGCCAGCTCCTCTTCCTTAGGAGTCGTTAACTTGGTGCCTTCAATGGCGCCAGTGCAGAAATCTTTCGTCTTACTAATTGTCAGGTGGACTTGGTACTTCATCATATCACGTGCAAAATCTTTAAACCCGACACGTATCACATCTATCTTTACTTCTAAGCTGCGGATGTACTGCGTTTGCTCGCAATGTGCAATTAGTAAAGGCTCCACACTTTGGGTCAGGGTATCGAGTTTGGTGGCTATCTCAGTCTCTTTCCTGATCTTCCCCATCCTAGTCTCTGCCGCCTTTAGATCTTTTTCTGCCCTTTCTGCCGCTTACAGACGCCGAACTCTTTCTTGAGATAGGTGCCACTTCCATGCCCTCTGCTGCTGCTCCTCTTCCGCCTTTCTCATCACCGAGTCCCTCTCTGCTTCCAGCTCTCTCCTCGCCGCTTCTCTCTCTGCTTGGGGTATGGCCAGCTCGACCTCCCTATCTTCTCCCAGCTCCAAATGTGCGGTCCATTCTTGTGTGGTCTTTTCAATCTCCTCCTCCTTACTTACTCGTACTTGCTCCACTCTTCTCCTTTCCAACGGTACTTCTTCTTCCACCTGCTTTTCTTGTTCTTCTTCTTTCTCCACCTCCGCTTGTATAAACGCCATTTTCTCCTCCTGCTCCGTCCATTTCTTCAGCTCTTCCTCCATCTGCCTTTTCTTTGCCTCTTGCGCCTCCAATAGGGCCAGGATCTTGGCCTGCTTAATCAGTTCCCTCTTCTCCATTCTCTCCTTCCTCTCTCGCAGGATAGCGGCAGCTCTCTCCTCTTGCTCCTTACTGTAGGGGGTGGTACTAGTTCCAGACCTGAGGCCCACCGTGGTGACGGTGCACAATCAACAACAATTCTGCGCCTCAACACGTGGACCAAACACGTTAACTTCTATCGAGAGGTCTTGACTCACTACTCGGGCTAGACTTTCGGTTCTATGACCACAATCACAACATCCTACTGACCTGGACAGAACTGCCAGGGAGATATGACCGACAAACCTTGTCAGACTTGACGTCAGCAAGTACCAAGGTGAAGGTGCACATCCACGGGGTAAGGGATAGGCCAGGGCATGGAGAGATGGTACCGGTAATCTTCACGCTCCAGTTGGGTCGACGTTCCGGTCAACGGTCTTGGTCTACTCGCCGGTCCACGGTTGTGGTCAACGCCCTGGTCAACTTCGGTCAACGCCCTTGGTCAACCCTTGGTCAGCTCTCAGTCAACGTTGGTCAACACCTGGTCAACACTAGTGGTCAACGTTGGTCAACCCTTCTGGTCAACTTTCCGACCTTTTGGCTATGGTGGACCTTCTTCTTCTTCACCTTGGCTATGACTGACTTCGTCTCCCTCCTCGTCACTTTCTTCTTCCTTCTCTTTGCATCTTTCTTCTCGTTGGTCGTCTCCTTTCGCGAGCTTGGCAGCTATGGCTGTCGTCCCCCCTTCTCTCTCTTCCACTCTCTCTCTCTCTCTCTCTCTCTCTCTCTCTCTCTCTCTCTCTCTCTCTCTCTCTCTCTCTGTGTGTCGAGCTCTCTCTCTCTCTCCCTCTCCCTTCTTCTTTGCTTGCTGCAGCTCCGCGAGCGTGGACAATGGGTACCAGTTCCGATACCAATGCAATCAGACTCAACTCTGGACTTGCTCACAACATGCACACTTGAGAACCGATGGCAAAACCGAACTCTTCCAACTCAGAAACAACAATGAACTTGTATCAACTCAGTCTGAATCAACTGTACAACTTGCGGCTATGGCCGCCGAACACGGTCTCTACCACCAGCCTCACTCTCACATGTGCGCACGTAAGAGGATCACCCTGGATGTCCACACTGCACAAACACACACACTCTGTACACCCTGTCTACACCAACAGCTGGGCGGTTATGGCCGCCGTCGTCTTCCTCCTCCTAGCTATGGCCGCCGGTGTCTCCCTCGCTGGTTCGCTATGGCTGCTGTCTTCCTCACAGCCCACTTCTTCTCCGGGCACCTGCATTCCTCCACGCACGAGATACCAAGGCAGCTCTTCCGCATGGCACACAGGCGAATGAATGAGTGGCTGGATGCTGCCTCTTTATTTATACCTCTTTGGAGGCACCCGGGCCTGCCTCAAAACGTGTGGGCCTGGGCCAAAACGTGTGTGTTATGAACTTGGTTGTCTGACAATTTTTACCGCCACTCACACACAGACAGTCTCATACATGCCCATACATGCATAAGAGAAGGGGGAGAGGAGACAGAGTCCACACTGCACACAGATCAGAGTAGGCAGCGAAAGTTCAACCATGCACAGATGGGGAGAAGACAGTCAGTGTTTCTCACTCTCTGACAGACTCCCAACAACCAATCACAAGAAGAACCTGCGAGGATAACAATTGGAATACACACTGATGAAGAGCCAATTAAACCAGATAAGAGTTTGTCCAATATCTCGCCACACTCTGAACCCCACACTCCACTCTCTCTCCTACACCCAGTTAGTAGCGCAAAACCGAAACAGCCTCCCAGAGGCCAGCGCCAACCACCCAGACAGATGAAGAACAGATCTGGCGATGAAGTCTTCAGTGTCGATGAACAACTCTGACGAAGAAACCGGCAGCTATGGCTGCCGCCACCCACAAACCCTCAGTGAGGAGCCTCGATATAGCCAGGCCAGACGCAGATACCCTCAGGGGTAGATGCGCTGAGGATGCCCCAGCTCCGGCAACCTTCAGAAGGCCGGCTATGGCTGCCGTCCACAGCAAG